TATAATTATGTTATATAGATAAATAAAAATATCACGTAGATAAACATTTATATTTTAATTAAAAAATAAAATGACAGTATGACCCTCACCTCCCAATCCCTCTTCTTCCCCTTCTTTCTTTCTATTTCTTTCTTTCCTACCCAGATCGATTGGGTTCCGCTGTCGCTGCCATTGATTACCTTCCTTTTCCGTAACTCTTTCGCAAAACACGAACATGAAATCCGCTCCGATCGATCCAATACTGTCCGTCTCGATCATTTCATCAGATCCAATGTTTCTCGCTTGCTGAAATCCAATCTCCTTGCTGTTCTCACTTGCTGGTCCTGGTCACACGAACCCAGTCTTGTTGGTCTTGGTTGCGCGAATCCGACCTTGCTGGTCGTGCGAACCCAGCCCTGCTAGTTGCGCGAACCCAGCCTTGCTGGGTTCATCAAAACCCAGCTGCTCGGTTTGCGCGACCAGCAAGGCTAGGTTTGACCAACCCAGGCTCGACGAAACTAGCAAGGCTGGGTTTCGACCAACCCAACCATGCTGGTCATGCGAACCCAACCTTGCTGGGTTTCGATGCTGAGTTCATTTTTTTTTCATTTTTCTTTCTATTTTTATTTTCGGTTCTTAATAAATTTGAAAGTTGATTTACAATTTGATTGCATTTTTCTTATGGATTAGAGTTTAATTGCATTTTTCTTGGAATTGGATTAGAGTTTGAATGATATTGTTTATGAAGGGTTAATTTGATTTGATGAGATCTATTGGCTTGATGAACTCAGTGGCTTTAATGAAACCAGTAACTGAGTTTTGACGAATGCAACAAGGTTGGGTTCGAGCAACTAGTAAGGCTGGGTTTCGACGAACCCAGCCGATCTGGGTAGGAAAAAAAGAAAGAGAAAGAAATAAGGGGACGAAGAGGGGTTGAGAGTTTAGGGTAATAATGTACTTTTATGTTTAAATTAAAATATAAATATTTATCTACGGAATATTTTTATTTATCTATATAATATAATTAAAATATATATAATTGTCATGTCATCAAAAAAATTAAAAGAAAATGTCAAATGGAATTATTTAATTGCCACGTCATGTTTAACTGACGAAAGAATCAAAATTGTGTAATTTTTAGAGTTAAAAAATCAAAAAAGTGAAAAGAATAATCTAAGGATCAAAAAAATGCAAACTTATAAAGTTGAGGGATCAAATTTAACATTTAACCTTTTCTTTTTCTTTTTCCTGCACGTGGAGGGTGACGTGGAGGGTATCATTATATCCACATCAGCTGTTTCCGTTAAGTTAACGTGCCACATGAGCAAAAATTAACGGAAGGACCAAAAAGGGACCGGATTTGTGAACAGTAAGGACCAAAAAAGGGATTTTTTCGGTACAGGGATCAAAAAGGAGCTTTTTCCTATAGTAGAGGGACCAAAAAGGGTATTTAATCAAAACAAAATTTAAGATCAAACAACATTCTAATCTATCATTTTAACAATTAAATACAAATTTTATTTTTGGACTTTACTTAAAAACACAAAATAATTAAAAATTTTGAAATAAAAAGAAAAAAAATTCA